ATTGATTATCATGTAGTATGGTAGATCATCATAAAATAAATCGGTTGTACAACACCAATTTCGTTTTAATTATTATTTCATTTGAAATAAAACCACTTAATAATATTCGGTAAAATATTTTAAGGAAAATGAAATATATTAAATATGTTATGCCTAGGCTCTCAGGAGAAAAGGATCAACAAACGTTCTGCTGCAAATTAAACAATGCAGCAAATTAGCTATTAATGTAAACGTAATTAGCGAGACGAAAACGGCGCTTTTGTTTCAGTTATTTTTGTAGGGGTTTCAGATATTTATAGAGTTCAGTGCAAGGCCATATATAGGTTCAGTGGGTTGTTTCTGAGGAGATGTGGAGATGTGAATTAGTAATTAATCACACTTTTTTAGTATATAGGGCCTTGCACTTTATCATCTGGATTAAAAAAAAAGTTTCCTGCTGAGTGCAATAAGGTAGGTAGGTGCATCGCCAGGTTCTATCACAGGATTGGATCAGTTATTGCAGTTGAAAGTCAAAGTTGGCTGTTCATGTTTAGGCCCTGTTCTTTATTTGGCCATCTACCCCATATTGCAGTTGTGATGACAAGCAGTTTTCAGTGTAGTTTTGTGATCTTTGATGTCATCAATTGGTGTCATTATTTTTCGTCAACTAAAACTTATTTCAACTTTCCATTCAATCGACTCAATCATACGAGTCACTCTAATTTTCGGGAATCAAATCAGTCAACCAGTCGCTAAAGTCAAACGAGTCAGTCAACCAGTCATCTCGAAAAGTCAATCGACTCAATCCAATCAACTCAAAATACGCGTTGAATCAAGTCAATCAATTCAATCGACTTGATTGGTATACAACCCTGGTCAGGTTTTACTAATCATTACGTGGACCTGAAGCTATTTTGCAACGGCAGATGTGAGCACTGCTATAACTCCAGAACTATTAGATGGCAGCAATAAAACGATATTGCATCAGTGAAATTTCTGATGCGCAGAATGCAAGGTAAAAGGTGTAGCTGAAAACTGCATTATGCAGCAAAAATCTGTGAGAAAAGCGGATTACTTTCCAAAATCCAAATGATTTCATTCACCATTCAACCAATGGCTAGGGAACTGGGAAGCAATCGTATAACGTTTAGACTTTACTTTTCTCCACTTTTAATTAGTTCTTAACAGCTGTTACACGGCCGGCCGGCCGGCCGGCCGTGCGGACGCTTTTGCGAGGCTTCACTGTAAAAAATATTGACGAGCTATGTGTCAAAACAAGGGTCTCGAAACAGTCACCAGGTTGTCAATGCTTCCGGTACCTACCACTTGACTAGTTACCGCTTAGTTAGCTTACAGGCTGAGAACTATCCAGGTCGTTATGATCCGGTATTGTGATGATACCCTAGGTGTACCTTTGTTTTGAAGTGCTGAATTAACTATCAAGGTTGTTTGACGTTTGTTTTCGCCTCAATCCGAAACGAGGAAGACCCTCATCAAATTATTAGGTGAAAGCCAGCCTCAGGATGATCAAAATACTAGGGGTAGTTTTGTCATAGTAATCTGTGAAGGGTGAGGAACAAGCCGTAACAATGCACTCGTCACTAAACCAGCCTGAGATTATTCGCCAGGTAGCTGCTGCGTTTCCCTACTTGCTGAATCATGTTAGCAACTTTCCATTTCCAGACACTTTTTACGGCAAATAAATTGTTGGGTTATTTGGAAGGTGAATGACAATTTTATTTCTATAAGTCAATGCATTTGTATTTCCGATTGCCCTAAAACTTTTTTTTTAATCGTTTGCGGTAGGTTTTTATTGTTCGCAATAAAGTTGCGCACCTGTGAATCCTTCACTTAATGCGTTCCCGGCTTCCCGGCGCCAGTTGCGCTGTGCCGTGCCGCGTTCGGTCGGAGGTGCGCGAGTCTGTGCAGTGCGAGTGTTTATCACTGGGCAAACCTGTATCGTTTCCATTTGTGCAGTGTCTAGTTATGAAGAATTGCTTGCCGATATATGATCTGCAGTGATCGACGTTCTGATTCAATAACTTGCCATAAGCCATTATTCTCAACTAAATCGCGCAGAGACGTTTGCAAAGTTGTCGGGGGGGGGGGACAAGAGCGATTTTAAATGAATTGCTCTCCATGCAGTGCAATAGGACTTTGGTTTAATTTTTCAAAAGTTGTGGAGCCGCCCCCGGTGTCCGGCCTGGCCAACTCTCTCAAGAACCGACAGCTAACGGATCACTGAAGTTTCACTACGACGATTTCCGCCAAAGTTATGAAGAAAAGGCAAGTGCAAGAAGTACAAAACTTCTCTTGGTAATCAAAACTTAGGTTTGGCAAATTCCAAACCCTAAGTCACTACAATTGTGGATATAAATAAGCTGGTTATTGACGGCCAAGCTCTGGCCAATCTGAGGTTCAGACCTATCATCAAGTTCATGAGGCAGCTGCGGTTGGGCGGCTCACGGGCTCCACTGCATAGGCTCAGACAGGTACTCTACAAAATGTCTTCTGTGTTCTTAGGTTCAGATCTATCGATATGTGCATGCTTCTGATTCGATTGATAACTGTTAACGGGCGCTGGAAGTGAAAGGTTCGCTTGATATACGAAAGGTGCATTGCAAGAAAGCATATTATTTCAGAAATACACTTTCATTTTATCTTGAGCGTTTTTGGAATGGGCCGGATGAATTCGTCATCAAACTGGTAAGAGATTTCGTTTGAAGACCACCGATATTTAATAATATGATGGTCTTCAAACGAATTCGCTGGCAAATTCGATGACTGGATTGGGCGGCGTAGGATCTGCTGGTCATCTGACTATGGGTTGAGCAATACGTTAGTTTTGACCTAGTTTGAGCTTCATTCGTTAAGTAGGAACAAGACGATGCTTCTTTTGAGCATCGTCACTAAACAAGCCGCCCTCGTTTTGACATTGTTTTTCGTTATTATTGTTACTAGGTAGGTTGTTATCATACACAGCATTAACGAGGACCTGCTTCCAAAACAAGGCAGAAACGCTCCAGCTATTTTTGGGACGTGGTAAAAACTAACCGACACCTGGTAACTGTCATCTGACGAACACAAAACAAGCCAGGGGCTCGCACCGTGTGTCAAAAGTAGGATGCAAAACTAGCCTGTACCCCCGACATTTAGCGTTGAGAATCATTTGACGAGGGGCTAGTCAATATTTTTTACAGTGTTATCTCTCAGCAACCACTTGACCGATTTACATGCGGTAAATTTTGTAGGGTAGCTTCATTCCTTCCTGACATCTCTCAAGAGTAACAATATCAGTGGTAATGTATTCTTTTGCATTTACAGGGAAAATTCAATCAATCGTAAAATACATAGTCTATCAATATGCCAAGGAAGACGAGGAAATAATGCAAATCGATAATTGATGCAAGCAAACGGAATACTAAAACAATGGCGCCATCAGCAGCAGGTTCGGTCACTGTCGATACGATCGAGATGTTAGGCCGTCTTCTAGAGACAATTACGAGAAAGTCAGAACATCAAAGTGAAGTCATTTTTCCTCGTCCCAGGCAAGTTTGATTACGCTTTCAAGTTTCTACGGTGACTAGGGTAGTGTGGGGTAATTTGAACATATTTTTACGTCTTCTCCGTTGTACCAAGTTCCAGCTCAACCCTGGATGAAGAAAAACTGCTTCAGTAGCGCAAGTGTCACTTGCTTTCACCATGCAAGCCTCATTTTTGGACGAGCCGAGCATACCTTGAAAAGCATAGCCTCACTTCTCCACCAAGTCACGGTGTGTTCAAATTGCCCCACTGTGGGGTAATTTGAACATACTGCCTTTACCTGTCATAAAAACGATAGTCTCGCCAGCACCGATGTTGTTTGACCCATAAACAAATAGGCAGAACAATTCTAAACACACCTTCACTTGAAAAATCAACACAACAACAAAAATAACAGTTGCAGAGTATCAATATCTGCACGCTGCACACCGGTCAGTTGACAAAATTCGCCTCTCTTCAATTAACAGAACGTCTATCATTTTTGTTCGATAAAAACTCTCCCAACCTTGCTGCATCTGTTATAGTGGTGCCAATCGAAACCTGGACATTTTGAGTTCTGATTTTGTCCAATGTCCAATTTGGAACTGGTTGGACAAAGGTAGCAGACTGGACAACATTGGACGATGGCTTGCTACACTTCAGCGCTTTTTATTACGTAACGTGCATAGCATTGATTGGCGAATGGAAAGCTTGTTAAGCTCTCAATATAATGAACACTTTTCGGCTGGTAAAATTACATTATAAGCAATTTAAATGACAGTTTTGAGTGTTGATTAATGCGTAATTTTCAGACATATTTGGACAAATGGCTACCTTTAACATTTTTGAACGGAAATCAACGAAAATGCCGGACATTAGACGGATATTAGACGTAAATTTTATAAAACTGGCATCACTTATCTGCTACTGCTTTGGGTCGAAAATATTGGCAAAAAAAAAGAACTGGGAGCGTTGTTTTTTTCGGAGCTATCCCTGTCTTCACTGAAATTCTCATACTATGTTCAAATTACCCCACGCTAAAAGTTATTTTGCCATATCTAAAAACAAGTTTCAAAAGCAAATTTCTTGGATTGAAGGCATTGATTAGGTCATTGTACAACAAAAGCCGTTGCGTATTAGACGCTAGCAATGCAAGATTTTGCGCTGCAATGAAGTTGCAATGACGTGATTTTAAGCGTTTTTACTTGCGAAATTGATTTTTTACAGTGTGCGTCAACATCTTCATTCCCTGAAACTTAAAACCCCGTTCATATGATAGCCCTTTTAGTTATGATAATTTCCCTCATTGGTCTTATTGTCATGCCATTTATGGATTTTCCGTAATTTTGTGTTTTTTACACTATGTTCAAATTGCCCCACATGTTCAAATTACCCCACCCTACCCTATACTGTGAGGCTGAACTTAGTCTTGACCACCCTTCGAAACGGTCCCCTAGAGTTGACGGCAATTGGTATAGGTCATACGGAGATGAACATACCTGAGCTATCGCCGCGGTATCATCCAGTGGCGTCCTTGACAGCCATCTCGACCCAGTAGCTGCCGAGCAGTCACCGCTCCCCGGACTGACCCACCGCCCCGGCCTCGGCGACGTTCCACAGCTCCCTGTCACCCGGGCTCTCAGGGGACTCTTCAAACTGCCAGCCGCCCTCTTCGGCACGTGAAGCAGCGAGCACGTGCGGCACGTCCCAGTGCAGGATCGCCGATCGACTGGCACCGTTTCTCCGTCAGTCTTGGCTCTGCGCTGTCGGTCCGTCGAGAAAGTGGCCGGTGCTCACCGCCGCGTGCCCACTGAGGTGTGAAAACAGACCGACTCTCGGCCGGCGGTCCCGCCCGGGCCCCTGAGACAGGCACGGCCTGCTGACCCGGTCACCGCGGCCCGGTCACTCCGTGCAGGCCACTGCAGGAGGGAGGGAGGGGTCACTGCACGGTGGACAGCCTGCAAGGGACAGGTCACGGCAGTCGCGCACGATTTGTTGCACTTTCGGACGGAGGCTGGCGGTTTGAGTGAAAACACTGCGACTAACAGAGTGCCTTGTGGTAGCCCGTACGCTATGCTGGAAGACACATGGCTTGGAATAACTGGTTAGAAGAGTTTGAGAACCGACGGACTCTCGCGCTTGGCATGGGAGAGGATGCGCTCAATTGGATACCACAGACTTTTCTCGTACATACGTCACTTTCGAGCATCATTCTGGCACACCAGCCACATGCTGCTTCAGCGTGGTTTCTCAACGAAATTTTGATAAGCACTAAACCTGCCGCAATCCTGACGATTGGCTCGGTAGTAAATGTATTCTGGCAATGAGATAATCTTTCGTTGAAACTATAATGTAATTAAACAATGGCAAGCTATTCAATATGCACTAGCATTGCATGAATTCCTACGACAGTGTGCAGGCCAGTGATCGCACGGTACCGGGTCCCGACTTGCTTTATAATTGTGCCAGCTTTTGTCCTAGCGCTACTATAAATATAAGTTAGGAAAAAACTTCTTAACTTCACAGGCATTGTTTCTACAGTTGCCAAAGTAGACCAAGTATTTTTGCCACACTGTGACTGCGCTAATGAGCGGTCAAAAAACTGTCTATACATTCTTGCGTTCGAAATAAAAAATACCAGAAGCAGTCATCTGGAAGCGATTATATATTTTTTTTTGCATTTAGAGAACGTGGTCTTACCAGACCGCTAAAATATTGATCAAGCTTGTTTTAGATACGGTATAATAAACATTTTATGTCTTAAGGCTAAAAATATATATTGTCTTTAAAAACGCGCCAGCCAAAGCGGAAGCACAATTAATCTTACATCGCTTCCGTCTGCTGTGATTGTATTACGGTTTAATAAACATTTTATGTCTTTAAGCTAAGATAGGGTCTTTAAAAACACGCCAGCTAACTCGGAAGGAACAGTAATCTTACATCGCGTCCGTCTGCTGTGACTGTATTATGATGTTATAGGTGGAATTGGTTAGTGAAGATCAAAGGGAATGCGACCTTTAACATCTGAAGGTATGACGGGTATATTCTAATGAATAAGCCTACATTAAAACAGCTATATTTGTATGCGTAGGTGCTTCCAGGGAGAGTGAACGACTTCAGGCTAGCAGATGCTTGCAAATATAACTAAAATGGATGTGCGGTTAAATTATTCTAGTCACACATCCCTCAGGAGTCAGGAGATAAAAACAGAACACCATTGGTATTTACCGCAAGGTCATATCGGCACCATCCACAGGCTATCCATCACAGGCAGTTCATAATCTGTATCTGTTAATACGCAGGGACGCCGAATCCAATGACACTCAAACACTCTTAGCATCCGTCATTTCTTTAGAAGAATTGTCATGGAATTGTCATGGATGGCAAAACATTAGCAGAGTGTTTCTCGCAGGTATCGTTCTTTTCACAAATATCAAAATGCTACTCCGACGTCCATAACCAGAGTAACAGGGCCTGACTAAACTAAAAAATAGCACCCTCTCCCGCACCCCGCTTAGTGTCCTTGACCACTGATGTTTCTCTCCTCCCTGCTCGACTACCATGATTGACCGCTCTAGTTAGACAGGCCCCGCCCCGCCGTGTCAGCGCCGTCTGATCACCCTGTCCCTCCGTCTCCGTCAGGTGCTGACAAGGTCAAACGGTCCTAGGACCGGCCCAAAGGCTGTCATATCCGCTGGCGGCGGTGCCTGGACTCCTGATCTCATGTAGACGGCGTTGGGCTGACCGATGTCAGCCTCAGACCATGGTGGTCCCGTGCCAGCATCCTCAGACATATAGCTCTTCAGACGGGCATCCCGGATATACATTTTGTATACAGTGTTCCCGGACCAGTGAAACCCGTGAAACCTAAACCAGTAAAACTCCGACCAGTGGTCATCAGAAAGGTGTAAGTACTGCACAGACCAGTGGTCTCGACCAGAGCTCCTCAGACTGGCGTCCCCAAATTAGCTCCTCCTACCTAAACTAGACCCAGACTCATCGCGAATTCGAAGGGATAGCGGGACGTCTGAGAGACATTTCTGAAACCTGCGCATTGTCTACCGCATATTAGCTAGTCTGCAACAGTAAACCACATTCTCCAGACCAGACGTTTTGCTGTACCTATACTCCCGTCAGAGACGGCAAAAACTTGATTTCAATGAGTGTTACATAATCTGGATTTTGATATGCGGTGGTTTCATCCTGTCATTTCATCTCAGTTGATGCATTTGAGGACGCAGTTTTGAGCGACGTCCAGTCGATTCCAAGATAAAGGATTTTTGCGGTGACTAAGAAGGAGTTCGAGGTGGTATGGAAGGTATGCTAATCACTATCAGTACAGCATTTAACGGTCGTCGCTGATTTGCGGTACAGACACATATGTAGCTTTGTTTCATCTTTCTGGTGGATTCTGCTAGCAGGTCCCAGTTGACACAAATATTGCATTGCAAGATCATATATCAAATGGGTCAGCTGTATTAGTATACTCGGAGCATTGTTGAGCATCCCAGATGAGCTAAAATAAGCAACATACCTAATCAACATAAGCCATAAGTGGGACTGAGATGAATGGGACTCGCATACTCGGGTAGTGACTAGTGATAACTGCATGGTCGCATACCTTCCGCTAAATGAGGTAGCAGTTCAAGGCAGTCAGACCGATCTTCCTGTTCCACCTTGGGAAACAATAGCAGTTTTTGCGACGGTACCTATCTGGCGAATGCACCGAACATGACCAACTCGAACCAATTCCCTTTTACAACAAATATCTTCATATCATAAATTTATTCCTATGTTTTATTAAAAAATAATGGTTGATAGTTCGCTATATAAGATATATTAGCAGCTTATGCAACCAAACTGAAAACTATTAGAAAGCGGTTATAACATAATTTTACCAGCTCGCATCAACTTTGGCCAACTGTGTATACCACATAACCGTCATGAAAACGGCGAAAAAAAAACTACAGCGAGTAAAATCAAGCTCACCCTTCCGGCGAAAATCTCCTCCCGTGACGCTACTGTTAGCTCGTGGTTTCTCGCCAGTTGTCTGCTGCACTTTGTCAATCATCGTTCCTCGTCACTGGCAAGTCGTCAGTCATCCTCTGTCAGCCGATCAGTGATCAGCGGCATCGCTGATCATCCGTATCGGGTCGACATCGACCAGTCAGCGTCCCTAGATCCGGCCAGGGAGGAGCAGACTGTCACCCCGTCACCGCCCCCTGTCATCCGGCAGCGGAGGACCCTCGACTGTCATCCTGTCACCACCCGACGGCGAGCGCGGCGCACGGCGGCGAAACGCGGCGCGCTCCACTTGTGTCAAGCAGGCTGATGGCGGAAAACGGATCGTGTCGCAGCTGTCTCCATGTGAATCTCGACATCGGCGACAACGGCGCGGGGTGAGCTATTGACGCTCACCAATTGTTTCACCGAAGAGACTTCGTCACATCCTGACACGCGGTGATCGGTCCCTCTCAATCAGGCATAAAATCAATAAAGGAATAGTCAACGTTGTGCCGTCATATCCTTGCGTTGCCATGTGCTAGACGGATGAAATTCAGACGGCGAAAGATTCCCTCCATGAGACAGACGAGTGTGTCGGGTGTCCGTTACAAAACGCCCCGGGTGGCGAGCCACGCCGGCGTTCCGTGCCGCTACGCGCCGAAAACAGGACCCGTGTGTCATAACAGGCCGCTTTACTAATGAGTCAAGGACAGCCAGGCTCGGCCCGCTTTGACGACAAATGATATAGTTACCGAGACCTTCGCCACTACGGTCAGGAGATAAGGCTGACTTTTTATGTGCATTGATATAACTTGCCCAGAACGAAAATAGAATGCCTACATACCTCACCTATTATGTAAGTGCGTCATTGCGTCACTTTATCTTTCTTCATGATTGCTTGGATTCCGCAGACTTTAACCTATTTGTATGTAGGTATATCTAGTTTTCAACGAAATAGCTGCAGGCATCAGTCTTTTTTACTTCATCCTACTAGGGGTAGGAAGCCTATAACCCTTCATATTCAGATACTGAGGCACCTGGCAAATGAACAAGAAAAATCATCGAGCCACACCACGCATACATTATGAAAGACAGACAAGCTGTACACCGTAATTAAATCAGTTTGAAGTGGCAAGACTCCCTCAGTCACACCAAAGTCTCCTTCCAGGCATATCCCACATGTCGAGCAGGCTGCGTCAGCGGCAGTCGACCCGACTGCAGTGCCCGGGGCGACGGCGCCTCGACCGTTCCATCATGACCTCATAGAGCTCGGTGGAGCGGCCTGACAGATGAAGACGGATCCGGGCCGATCTGAATGGGACCGGAGAGCGGCGCCGGGCCCCACGCGCACTGAGGGATTTGTGGTGCACACTCGCAGTCATCTTGGTATAGCTGGTGTAGGTATACTGATCCCATGCGCACACAGACGAAATGTCGGTATTGTGGCTAAGTTTTGAAATATTGCATTGTCCAGACTAGAGACCTGCAGGGACTTGGGTCACTTTGTAATGAAGTCCGTCGCAGACTATCACATTGGGTCCCACAATGTGGATGGAGCAATGACCTGCGAGACCAGAACAAGCGTGGCGTCCGGTAGCCTAGAATCCACCGCGCTGTTTTGCCGCATCATTACGAGAAGTCCATGGCTGGTCGTTCTGATCACGATGACCAAGACAGACGGACCTCCGGACAGTCACTATAGGCTCTCCGATGTGACCTAAAGAGGGTCATCAAATGGGAACAGCGGAGAGTATCAACAATCAGTCTGCCTTTTATCAGCCTGGCAGCAGTAGCTCAGAGCCGACTTCTTCACACCTTGTTAACAGACAAAGAATCTTATGAAGACAGAAGA